TTTTAGAAAATAGAGATGACAAATAAGATTAAAAATTCTCGAATAAATAGTATATGGTATCACTTCTATTCTGTATAAACTAAGTTTTATAATTTAAAACTGTTTAAATTATAAAACTAAGCGATCATTTATAATTTTAAAAAAATATTATACTGAACCATACAGTTTAAAATTATTAAATGTAAAAGAGGAAAAATTATTGTGCCAGTGGTGGCAAGAAGACCCATGCGCTCTCAGGACATACCTTTTCCATGAGATCCAGAACTTCAAACCCTTGGATCACTTTCTCAAACACACTGTACAACCCATAGAGATGTGGTTGCTTTGCATAAGTTACGAAGAATTGGCTTCCGTTGGAGTATTAGGCCCACTATTGGCCATTGATAGTATCCCCCTTGCATTGTGCTGTAAAAGAGGAAAACTCTGAGATTAGTACATCCAGTTCTGTACCCCAAATTCAAGCTATGAACAATGCAAAAAGTGTCATTTCAAATATAGGGCAAAAATTATGCCTCAGTCAACAGAGACCTGAACAGTCTAATCTCTGTTCATCATGTGTAAACTTCAAAGCTTTAAACTAATAAAAGTTACAAGTCAGAGATGAACAATTGTTCAAAGACCATTGGGAATCTAGACAAAAATGCATTACGCTGTTTTCAGCATGAATCCACAGGGAAGAAAGCAAAGAATGGCCTACTAACCATGTGACAAACTAAAGCAAAAACCAAAATGATTCAAGCCTTGGTAAAAGCTGGTAATACAAATATCTTAAAATGCAGTAACAGATTGAGTGATGCACTGATGGTTGAGACAATGGCCAAAGTTTTTTAAATCTAAATTTCTAGCAATGGCATTAAAAACCTTCAAAGAGTCCCTTATCTCATCGTTGAACTTTTTGCCCCCTATACTAGTAACCCCTTTGCCTGTATCAGTTGGATCTCCACCTTGAATCATAAAACCTTTGATATGTCTGTGAAAAATAGTCCCATCATAATAACCACTAGCACGCAGTGCCAAAAAGTTCTGCAACCAGATGAAACAGGAGTATGAGTAACAATTTTTTATTAACTTCAAATAGATAAACATGGGTAGGTAAAGTAATATACAAGAGAAACCAATCAACAGAAGGGACCTGAAACTGGCTTAAACAGAAGTAAGTGGAAATTCTCAGTTCTAATGAAATCCAGCAAGGCCTATTTATTAATTTCATAAAATGTTTATCCAATGTCCAAATGAATCTTCAGCAAAACTACCAAAGTACCAATGGAGCGTCAAAGTTAGATACTTTCTATGTTATACCACTGTCAACCTTCATCTTCAAAAGGACCCAAGGTTGCAAAAGCTGTTGACTGCGATCAGTTTGCTTTTCTGAAAACTAAACTTCAATCATTCCAAATGGTAAAAATATTCTATAAATGCTTGAGGGTAACGCGAGGGCTAACCTCTGCTGTTTTGTGGCCATGATTCGTGTGCACCGTAACTGACTGCAAAACCAAATATCAAAACCATGAGCTTCTTTTCCGTTCTGTTCTTTTTCCTCGTTAGATAAGTGAAGCTAATGTGTTTGAAGAAATTACGCTGAGAAAACTGACCTTGATTGTGAGCTTATATATGCTGGGAGCCGGATAAGCTTTCTGGAGGTTTGACGAGTTAGCATATATCTTCTCTGGTTAATATGTCAAGGGATATTATAAGTATATCATTTTTAGATATTTTTAGGTTTTTATATGTTGTTATTTGGGTTTTTAAGAAATCAGATTTTCATAAAAATGAGAAGACAACGAAGGGAATGAAACTCAATGGAAAATAATAACATAGAATATGTAGGCTTAGGAGGAAATGCAGATCATCACGAAACCAGGCTTGAATTGCGCGAAGAATCTCCTCCAATCTCCAGTAATGGCAAATCCTGGACAAGGATAGCTAAGTTGATTGCATTATGCATTGCTGTGGTGATTTTAGCAGTTTTTTTAATCAAATGGATCCAAATTGTCGGACCATTCTTTTTGAGAAAGGTATAATTGATCTTCCATTTCTTGCTTAATGCATCACGTTCCCATCATCCCGCCGCATCATTGTTTAATCTTTGCAAATTGGGTATTACAGACGGTCGCCCCTGTTATAGAATGGGGGCAGAATAGGTTCAATGCAATGGAACTGTCAATTATAGTTTTTGCTTCATTAGCCACATTTCCTGTCATCTGTCTTCCGTCTACACCATCAATTTGGATTGCTGGAATGGCTTTTGGCTATGGAAATGGATTTCTACTGGTTATGTCCGGTGTTGCCATTGGCGTTTCATTACCTTATTTAGTTGGTTCCTTCCTTCGTAACAAAATCAAAGTGAGCAAAATTTGTCCATCATTTGATCCCTGTATCAATTCTTTGTTTCTTATGTTTGTTTTTTGGTTTTAGGGATTGTTGGAGAAACATCCACATGAAGCTTCTATCTTGAGATTGGCTGGAGAAGGAAATCGGTTTCATCAATTTCAAGCAATCACCCTGATCAGGATTTCTCCTTTTCCATATATCATTTTCAATTATGCAGTCGTTGCCACCGACGTCAAATACGCTCCGTACTTGTTTGGTACATTGGTTGGGATGATACCTGAGGTTGTTGTTACACTCTACAGGTTTTTCAACATTCTCCTTTCTCCATCCAGGAACATTGATTTTCTGTATGCGTTCGTGTGTGTGTGTGTGTTTTTTTTAATCAATTCAGTATTGGGTTTTTTTTTTTTTTTTATGCAGTGGGATTGTTATTCGTTCCTTTACCGAAGCAGCAGAAGATAGGAAAGCGCAGTCGGGGCAGATGCTGCTGAACATTGTTGGATTGTGTGGAACAGCGTTTACTACAATTTTTATTGGGATTTACACAAAAAGACGACTTGATCAGAAGCAGAAGGAACAGCTGATTCTGAAGTGATTGCCCTTTCTTTGCTGCGGAAGTGTGAACTTGATGATCACATTCCTCCCTAGGTATTCATTCATTCATTCATCTCACATTGAAGAATGATAAATACAATCTATCCACCCGACTTCTGGGTCAGAAAATTAAGAGGAGATCAATGACAACGGAAATAATCCTGTTTTTTGCAATTTGGAAAAGCTCATCATGCTAATCTCCAATTGTAGTAGTATCTTTATAGTCGCTACCAGGATTGATACAATAGACCCTCGTGTGTTTTTATTTAGGAATTGGGGTTCCTCAATTTTGTTCTTTCATTTTTCTTTGAATTTGGTCATCCATGTAGAAATGACAATAAAAATCTTATGCCCAATCAAAACATTAATTCCATTGCTATGTAAATGGATTGAATCATATATAGACATTAGAATAAGAGAGGTTGGCAAAATGTTGATACACACAGAACTGAAATTATTGAGAAGAATATTTTTCACTAAGCAAAGGGGTAAAAAGATATAGCCTAGCAATGCAGATAGATGGACATGGAATAATCGCCCATGAAAATATTATTAATCAATAAATAAATTAATAGAGAAGAAGGAATTACAACAGGAGCAGTTAATATCACTTACTATTCCAGTTCCTGGTTGTGAAGTCGTTGGTGCAACAGTTA